TTACTGTGTACTTTTGGTATACGTTCTGAACAAATGTATAATGACCTATCCATCATTATAGTATTATACAGAATATCGTCACTGCCCTAAAAATCCTCTGTGCTCTGCCTATTCATCCCTCCTTCTACCCAACTTCCAATTTTTTTACTGCCTTCCATAGTTACCATTGAGTTTTTAGTTTTAATTATTATAATTTTTATATTTAGAAGTTTGGTTCAGTTCTTTTACAAAATCTGCTTAGTCTTTAGAGTCTCATCTCTCTTTTTATAATCAAGCAATTGTTATTTCTTGGCACATAGTAAGCATTTGTTTTGTGTTCTGTCTGAAATAGTTCTGATAGTTAATATCTTGAGAGTCTAATTGGGCTGTCTGTGCTTCTGCTGGCTTTTATTCATAGTGCTCTGTTTTCCTGTTGTTTTGTGTATGTGTAGGAGTTTTGATTTTGAACTCAAATCTTTTGGAGTTTTAGTTGTGGGAGCTTTTTGTGGGGTGGATTAACTTCATCTTCCAGAGTGAACTTGTGGTTCTGCTAGTTGTTGGTTGAAGAGGGTGCCATCAACTCAGGGTCTCTCTGAATATCACTACCTGCTTGAGTGGTTCTGTTTAAGATCATACAGCTTGCGTGGATTTGGGTTACATTCTTTCATGAGGGTCAACTTGGGGTTATGAATTTTTGGAAGTTCTCCTCCACCCCCAGTGCCAAGGACATGTCACACATGTTTCCTTGCTGCCTCCTCTTGTGGTAGAGGATTATTTCTTGCTCCCCCTGACATGAAGATCCAGCCCTTTTGGAATCTTAGTGTCATGCTCAGGTCTTCTGTTAGCCTTCCTGTCGTCCCAAGTTTTAGGTTTCCCTGCACTCCCATTTCATTCAGCTGTCAGAAAAGAGTGTAAATGTCACTAGTGTTGACAAATACCCTCAGTGTAAAATCTCTCTTTGGCATTGGCCTATCTCCCAGGGTTCTCCCATCATTTTGTTTTTTGTTTCCTGCAGAGTCCTCATTTTCTCACCAGCTCAGTAAATTATTATTTTTTTAATATTAAAATTCATCCACCTTCTTGTTGTTTTCATCAGGAGGGTCATGAATACCTCATTGCTTCTTTATGGTGAATTCTGTAGTAATAGGTACTGACTCTAAAATAATCTTTTGTGTAAGTTACAAAAATGGAGACAGAACGATCAGAAAAGAATATCTCTTCCTTCTCTGTTGTGTACTAATACAAAAGAGAAGAATCCTGATACCTATGAAAGCTTTAGAGCAGAATTTTTTTTTTTAAAGATTTTATTTATTTCTTTGACAGAAAGAGACACAGCGAGAGAGGGAACACAAGCAGGGGGAGTGGGAGAGGGAGAAGCAGGCTTCGTGCTGAGCAGGGAGCCCAATGCAAGGTTCAGTCCCAGGACCCTGGGGTCATGACCTGAGCCAAAGGCAGACGCTTAACGACTGAGCCACCCAGGCGCCCCTTAGAGCAGGAATTCTAACCTGAGCATGGCCACCATTTCTTTCCTTTTTCCTGGTAAATCATCACTGATTTAATAAACCACTGTTAATTGTAGTGGAATCATGTTTCTCAAGTGTAGAGATGGAGAATTGTTCAGAGCCATTACTATTGGATATTGACTTGTTCCAGGTTCAATTTAAACCTTGGGGTGCTTCGTTGACCATTATTTGACATGATAGGGTTTGTCAGCCTTCAACAAAATCTTCAAGGGGTGACGTTGAGAACTCTTCTGAAGATACTAAAAATTATACAGCAAACTTTTGGTTTGGTGGCTGTTTTTCCCCAGCTGTGTCTAACTCTAGTGTTGAGAACCAGTCACCAGAAACTGAATTACTTAGTCTCCTCTTTGCCTTTGTAGTTAGCATTCAGCTAGAGGTAGAGATGTACTCTCATTGCTTCTGCAGAGAAAATCTTGAATTCATGCCATAAGAATAACGTCCCGCACACTCACAGAATCTGCATTACACAGCATCATTATCATGGTAAGGTATATGTTACTATGCTGCACTTTAATTTAGAACTGTCATAAAGTAAATCCAATTCTCTTTGAACTTTCTTTTTGGATCTGCTCTTACTCCATCTGTCGCTATAATGTCTCCCTTTTGAACTGTGTTGTTTGGCATATATTGGTTGGCTTGGACTTCCATGGAGCTTTGTGTTGATACAGTAAATGTCTTCAGAAATGTTGATAAAACTGATTGGTAACGTTAGAATGTTGAGTTAGAAGAGACTTTAGAAATTACCTAGCCTTAATTTTCTAAACATACTTAGCTGTGAAAACCTTAATTTGGGTAAAGGATTACTTGAAAACCCAACAGATAAACTTGGAGCTGGGGTTTTTGAAAATCAGTGAGGAGATGAACCCTTTTATTTCGCAAATGAAGCTTCTTAAATCCAGAAAGGTTAAATGACTATGGTTTATGGCTGTTTCCATTTTATCACACTTAGCATCCTCTTCCCAGACCTCTGATTGGATTGGGGTTTTGCTTTACTGTCAGCCTTTTGGAGAGTACAGTGACTGTGCCTCTGGGCCGCTAGGTGGAATTGGCTAGAGTGAGGAGATCCATTTTTTTTTTTATTAATAGCTATCTCATTTTTTCTTCTGACTTGTTTTCTTCTCTTATTTCTTAGCTGTTGCACGGAGCAGATACTTATTACCGTTACTGGCTAATGAGGGTAGTTTTTCCCCCCTTGAATTTGAAGGGAAGGGGAAGAGGAAACCAGCGTTTATGGGACACCTGCTTATGTAACAGCACTGCAGGATGCTGTCACAGAGTTTTAAATTCCTTTCATTTGTAGCTATCCTATAAAGTAGTTGGTGACATTTTCCTTTTGTAGTTAAGGAAACTGAGGCGCAGAGAAGCTAGTAATTTGATCCATAGTCAGACTTACCTTGAGGATGCAGGACAGCTGGAGGATTTTCTAAGCAGGGTGTGAAAGTCTATGATGTGGGCGGGTTGGCGGGGGGGGGGTAAGTGGATCCTCTGGCATGGTTAGAATACACGGTCTGTTATGTGTGATTGGCATTAGCCTGGGCAGAGAATGTTCACATGTTATTCTGTTCACCCTCAGGGCCAGAAATGCTTTCCTGAGTTCTGTGTACTGGCATTTTACTGTTCCACATAAATAGGTGTAATAAGGTTGTATTTTGGATAATAGAACCTTTCTTCTTTCTCCTTCTCCCCCACTTGCTCCCCCTCCTCCTCTTCTTTTTTGTGGGGAAGGGGTTATACTTATTTGAATAAACTAATATCAGTTTGAATTCTTATAGTAAGGGGTAAACATCTGGGCTTATTGGTACTTTTCAACATATGTGAGGAAATTTTATGACGTGATAACTTGAGCTGCCAGGGATGGGGAGTGGGGCTTGCAACATTTGCACCAAGACAGATGCGTTCAGTAGATCTTGAAGTTGCTGTGATAATTGAATTTGATGTTGTTACAAAACAGTGGATGGCCAAATTAGAAATAAATGGTTATCTATAAACTAGCGATTATATCAAGGTTTTGTAGAAAGCCTAAAATAAGTTCTAAATTAAAAAAAAGTAAAGGCAGTATCATGTTTATATACAAGTGCTGGGTGGCTGGAGGATATTAAAGGAAATGTCTTGTTTTGGTAGAATTTGACCACCAATCCACCAGGTCCCTTCAATCAGTCCTTATAATCAGGAAGTTGAGGATGTGTTGTCTAACAAAGGTTGGGCTTCCCCAGTCCAGGAGTGGAGCTCAATCAGGAAACAACAGGGGTGGGCTTCTGAGCTCGGGGTGTTAACCTCATGTCAGTGCCTTGGAGGAGGCGTAGTGTGTGTGTTGTCGTCTTGTGTGCAACTTTGCAAAGTGGTGTTCAGGTAGTTTGTGAATAAAACTGATATGGTATCATGTCTGTGGTGGTATGTTTTCTTGGGAATTTTCAAGTCATCATATCCAGAGTTGTGTGTTCAGAATTGCTGTCATTTCTCTTTCCAGCTGTGTTTGGAGTCCGTTTAGTGGCATGTGTCAGTATGCAGGGGCACCCTGCCCCCGCCGTCCCTTTTTCTTCAGGGACCTCAGTGCACAGAGTTGAGTCAGTCGTATTCCCGAGACCATGGCACTCAATCGTTGTCTGGGCAAGGCCCTTCTTTTGTTGGGTTTCATCTTATTTTTTTCCTTTTTTATCCTTCATCCCCAATTCCATGTCCCAGTCCTCTTTCAGCACCCATTCAAGTATGTTTAATGTACGTTCTTCAGCCCATTGGCCATGTGCTATTTTTTATATATGTGTTAATCTCATTTTTTTTCTTTAACATTATGTTTTTGAGAAGTAGTCATGCTTTTGTATGTGAACCCAGTTCCGTTATTCTGACTCTGCTACGTAGTATGCTGGTTGTCTGCTGGGCAATCATCAGTGCTACTTCACACAACATTCTTGTCACTTTGGGCTCCGTGTGGGGATTTTTCAGGTATATACTGCCAAAGAATTGTTAGGTCATTGACTATCTGCATATGTCATTTCAGCTCTCCTGTTAAAGCAGGGGCTTTAGTCCATTACCTAGAACAAAAGTAGCACATTATAAATATAATTTCTTGATCCACGCTTTGGTTTCCTGAGGAAGTTCTTCTGAACTGGTTTTTAGTCATACTATTAAAATCCTTTACTCTTCACTATCTTCCTCTATTTTCCTTCAGTAATGTTAGGGAGTCAGAGGGAACATAGTTTTTTAAAGGATTTCTCTGTTGGGGCACCTGGGTGGCTCAGCCGTTAAGCGTCTGCCTTTGGTCAGGTCGTGATCCTAGGGTCCTGGGATCGAGTTCCGCGTCGGGCTCCCTGCTCAGCCAGAAGCCTGCTTCTCTCTCAACTTCTGTCTGCCATTCCCCCTGCTTGCTCTCTCTCTCTCTGTCTCTCTCTCTCTCTGTCAAATAAATAAAATCTTAAATAAAGGATTTCTCTGTAATGCCTATATAACTGTGAAAACTTTATGAAAATACTACAAATACTAACTTTTTTTTTTGTTTTATAGGGCGCCAATGCCTCGGCATTAGAGAAAGAGATTGGTCCAGAACAGTTTCCAGTCAATGAGCACTATTTTGGATTAGTCAATGTAAGTATCCATTGATACTTAGCCTTCACCAGTATCGTTGGAAATAGTTTTAAAAATGATGAATGCGTTTCATAATTTATTAAAGGAAAATTGTTTATTTGCATCAGTAGGATTAAGGCCAACAAACTTGATTTGAAACTCTCTTTTTAAATGGAAGGGAAATAAAGTTGCCCAAGGTCTTAAGAGTTTTAAAACAGTTTCATTTTTCCTATTTTTTTCCTATTTTGTGTCAGAATTTATCATAACCAAAATTTTGTATGGCCTACAGCAAATGATCTTTTGCTTCTTTGAGAATCCTTTAAATGTCTAAATATAAGTGGCCCAAATGTACAGGTATAATAAACTTTTGCAAGTGCCTCCATGTGTCTGTAGAGTAGTTGTCACCTTACTTCTGGCAGTGTCCCACTAGTATAGATATACAAGTGCAAAATATAGGCAAAGGGCACATTCCCCAGTCCTTGTGGAAGTAGTTCTAGCAATTATGCATCATGAAAACTTTGGAAGAACTTTCTTTAGAATTTTCAACTCTTTTTTGAATCATCAGCACGCGCCACAAATCTGTGTTGTTGTGTACTGTTAGGTAGATCCATGGTGAGTGTTTTAAACTGTACATAGAGAGGTGATAATACAGGTGGCAAAATAAGTTCCATCGAGCACACCTGTGTGTCACTGAACACTAGTATGTAATTGTGACTTATGAGGGGGATTTCTTGTCTGATTTGAGGAAAGCGGTTAAAGGGATGTGGGTGTTTCCTCTTGCTCCGGGAGTCCGCTCGTGAGCGTGAAGCTTGTAACACGTTCAGCAGTCCCCACTCCAGAGTGCCTCCCGAGAGGAGGCTGGTCATTCCTCCATGGGCGATTTTTCCTGGAATCTACCCCTACATTCTGAGTAAAGTGCCTGTGCTGCTAATAACAGTCCATTGACTTCCTGTTACGGTAGGTAAGAAACTTCGCCCTCTTCAACCACCCTCCCTGCCCATTCTCTGGTATGGAATTAGCCATTTATTTTCCATGTCCTTAATTTTCATTTATTCTTCCCAAAGTCTTCAGCAGCGCCAAAAAAGCTGAGAAGACTTCCTCAGTACCAGTTTGCACTGCGTTGTCCTGAAGGCCCTGACAGCCTTCTGGAGCCCTGTCATCCCGCCGTGTGGCCTCTGCGGCCTCCTCTTCCCTTCACCCTAGACATCCCTTCGCTTCTCTCCTTCCCTAGATGCCCTCTTCTGCTTGGGTTTTTCCCTGCTTTGTGGAACATGCTCTGTAGTAGCGTCTTCAGGGAGTGTGCCTAGGAGGTAAACATTGAGATCTTGTGTATTTATCTTGTTTCGGTTATTGTCAAAGCTAGATAGAGATCCTAAGTTATAACCGTCCTTTAGAATTTGTAAGGGATTACTCTCTGGCTTTCTGGCTTCTGTTGACATCCACAGGGCTGATGCCATTCTGATTCTTCATCTCTTCTGTGTGGCTTTTTCCCCTTTAAAAAAATGTTTGGGAGGCTTTCAGAATGTGGATGGATATCCACGGGATTCTGAAATTTCATGATGCATCTTCGTGCCCCCCCCCCCGCCCTCCCGCTAGTGTTGCATTGGCTATTTATCAACCCATTTAGACATTTTTCATTTTCCTCAGTTCTAGAACATTTCTGATATTAGTATTTGGATAATTTCCTTCCTATCAGTGTTATCTCTTTGTTCTGTCTTTTTTCATATACTCTTAGTTGCATATTGAAATGCAGACTGATTCTTTGTTTTTCCTACTTTTTCCATTTTTTTGATCACCTGATATTATTCTACATTGCCCTTTTTTGTCCAGTTCGTTGCACTTTTTTTTTTTAAAGATTTTATTTTTTTATTTATTAGAGAAAGAGAGGGAGGAAACACAAGTAGGGGGAGTGGGAGAGGGAGAAGCAGGCTTCCCGCTGAGCAGGGAGCCCAATGCGGGGCTCGATCCCAGGACCCCGGGATCATGACCTGAGCCAAAGGCAGACACTTAATGACTGAGCCACCCAGGCACCCCTGCGCTTTTATTTTGTAGAGTGTTACCTTAATTTTTTGATCTTGTTTTATGGAGGCAATATTCTCTGTTATTTTTCTCAGGATATTATTTATAATTTTTATTGTTGAGGTTTTCTTATGCTTACTGGATTGTTTTGAGGCCCCCACTCCCCCCCACCATTTTAAATTCTGTCTTTCCTAATGGGATCTTTCCTCAAATTTCACCCATACATAAAAGTGAAATTCTGAAAAGCTGATTGGGACTTGGTGTATTATGGGTGGAGCTTATCTGCTATGGGTTTCCCTCTAGGGTGACCCCTTGGCAAGCAGGCTTTAGAAATAGCTGTACCCATCCCCCATTCTAGTGGCTAGAGCATTTCTTCTGGGGTTATTCCTTGGTGCTGGGGCACTTTCTGTCGAGGGGTGGCTTCCTCAGGGTTTTGTTGAGCCCTCTGTTTTCTGTTTGGTGCCTCACTGCTGTCCTCAAGGGCTCTTGAACCAGACTCTCCTGTGCAGCTTCTGTGGAGGCTAAACCTGCAGTTGAAAGAAAGGTTAAGTATCTAGGGGTCTAAATGGTCCTTTTAAAAGAGTTGTAACCAGACCTCTGTTTTTAGGTGAACCCCTACCCCCCATTTTTTTTTTTTTTGGTCTTTTGAGTTTTTGCTTAATTTATTCTTTTACTGTCATTTTATTGGGGTTTTGTGGGGAGGGCGGGGAGTTAATTGATTATTTAATTTCCCTGGTTTAACACGACCTGGCCTCTACTTCTAATATCTAAAATGTTCGTGCTTACGTGCAGAGGTGTCTGGTGATCAGAAGCCTGGTGTCCATTCTGGCAATGGCAGAACCCCAGCTTCTTCACTCTCACGAACTACTTCCCTGCGGCTCCCACCCTTACTTGGTTTACGCTCTATAAAGCTAATGGTCTTGAATTGTAGGAAAGTTGTGCTCATTGATAGTGTCTCAGAAGAACCCATTTTCTTCAGCACAGGAGTATTTTATATATTGAAGGCTGTTTTACCTTTAATCTTCTCCAGTTTAAATATTTCAGTCTCTCCGTTTTGTGTCTGACTGTAACTCTTTTTGTAAATAGCCTCAGAACAACTAAAACAACATCCTTGAGAAAAATCTTACTATAAAATGAGTTTAGAAGTCTTTTGTTGTTGTTGTTTTTACTCTCATGTATCACTTTGAGAATACCATTGTCAATTGTGTAAAAAAAAAAAAAAAAAAAGGATTTCTAAGAAGGTTTCATTTTTCTTATTCCCTGTGGATCAATCCAAATTAAAAGGGCAGTATTTGTGCTTCTCCCTGAATTTGACTAACCGAGATTCAGTAAAACCCAAGAGAAACAGGAGGGAGTGAAGTTAGTAAGGGACCTTTAGAGGAAGCTTTGTCTTTTACCCCTTCCAGAGACTCATTTGATGGGTAGAAATGTAGTTTCTGATCTCTGTGCCTAGTTACTATGATGAAGAATTGGGATCTCTAAGGTAGCCGGGGCTCAGTCAACTATGAAAGACTGACGAACACCTGAGTTAAATTGAGAAATTAATTGGTGGTCAGAGTAGATGCAGCAGAGCTAGTATAGTGATTAACTCTTTCTGTGATTAAACTTTCAGGTTACCTTGCAACTGTGTTCTGTACTGTTAACTTTTTGCTATAGGTCCTATTTTCCAGTTCTTAAAATATCATCACTCTTTCTCTTTGTTTCCCTCCCCCTTCCTCCTTTTTAAAAAAAAATTTATGGAGTTAATCACACTATTTATAGGAGTCCCTTAAAAATAAAGGGTGGAGCTTTGGAGTGGGTAGGGGAGGGTAGCTTAGTTAATTCGGAGATCAACATTTTAACTTCTTTTTCTCTCTCTGTACCTGTCTGCCAGGTAGGTAGTGTTGAAACAACACTGGAATGTAACTGCTTTAAGAAACTGTGGTTTATCTTTTCCAATAATTGGATTTTGTTAAAATGAGGCACACATATATTTTCTTTTTATCAGTATGTTCTTAGCTGAGTATGCATCTCCAAGGTTCATTTTAATTGCTCGTAACAAAAAGCTTACCCCGAGAAGAGTTCCTATTAGACCTGCCCTTTTGGAGCCTTTTTGTGACTGGCGAGTGACACAGTCCTTCACTAGCACTTGCCTTTGGGAAATAGTATATGTATTTGGGCAGTTAGAAAATCAGACTTTTTGTTGTTGTTGTTGTTAATGGGCAGAAGAAAAATAACCACAGTTTGATTAACTAGCACAAAATTCAACATAGGGGTTACTCTGGACATGCTTAATGTAACCTATTTTCCATTACTTTCAATTGCAGTTATCTTTATCTTGGAAGAACATTTTCACAAATGATCCTTTTATAGCAGTTCACTCTTAATAGTTCTGATGTCTATCACTGTACTTTGCATAATACATAGAGTGGGGATTTCCTTTTGGTTTAACTCTTGAGCATGCTTTAATATTTCCAGAGATGAGAAATATTAGTGTGGTGTGGGGGTTTAGGAACTGTCTTTTGAGTAGGCAAGGGAGCCTTTTGGAAGCTTTCTCTTACAGCAGAATATCCTACTTAAATTTTGTCACCCCTTTATAGGGTCAGCTAAATTCTTTGAAAATGAATTGTTTTAATCTGATGAACGAGATTGCCTGTTTCCCCTTATATCTTGCAGCTAGTAAGTACTTATTTTCGTAAAGTTGATAGAAAAGGAGTGATTTCAGTTAGTAGTGTCTCTTTCCTACTTTTTTGTGCAGTCTGCATTTTTAAATAACCTTTTTCCATTGTTTTATTATATGGTTCTGTATTAATTCTCTAATACAGTAGGAGCCAACAGACATATGGCCTCAATAAATCTATTTGTGAGACTACAGTGGAATGTGCTTTTCCATAAAATCTTTGTTATGAAATAACAATTGTGTTCCTTAGACCATCTTACAAAAGGCTTTTAACCCTGAATTGCTGGTAGTCATTGGTTGGAATTCTGGATCCAGGGAACAGGAGCCATTATGAAGGAGAGAG